ACTAGGCCTGATGTCGAAACCTTGACCTTAGGCACCTTGTGGGACAGAAACTGTCATTTAATTGATTTGAATCCAGAAATACAGGTTCATCCATCCTGAGACTTTCTTTCTTGAAAATTCAAGTGAAAGAACACTCTCTTTTCTATTATCATTACTATTTTACAAATGTTGATAATGAAAGTGTTTTAGTTCAAACCATTTTAGATGTTGCAGTGAACTAATCAATTTTTATTAACTGTGAAACAGTATAATGATTTTTACTCCTCATGCAAAGTTAGAATTCATGTTAAGGCCTGTTACAGAGTAATTATGCATTTTCTGATTTCCTGTCTTTGAATGAGCAGTGTACGTTTGCTCCAAGGTCGGAGTCGAAGCAGACAAGTGTTGGAACAACTGTCTTGTTTTTAAATCCTCTCAGACGTAAACAGAGAAGTTGGCACCTGTTTCTCCAAACTCGCCCAAACATTTCTCTCGGCTGTCTGAAAAACAGTTTCAATCTGTTCTATAACATTCTTGCTGTTTTTCTGACTTCTAGTAACCTCTTACGTCACAAACCACACCCCTGTCTGGTCGACATTGACCAATCAGGGACTCCCAAATGAACCGGAAATAGAGCCCTTTAAAATGTCGGTACTTCCTAGTTCTCTCAGTTCTGTGAGCAGTAGTTTTGTGAAGTTTCAGTTCTGTGAGTTGCCGTTGGAGTCGGGCTGGAGAGTTTGCAGCTCCAGTCGTTTGGGAGAACAGAAGTCCAGCCATGATAAGGCTCTTCCGAGATTGGGATTATAACATCTATTCCCTCTGAGTGGAACTCGGACGAACCCCACTCATGTGAGGTCCACTGGCTGAGGTGAACTTGTGTCAGACGGGATATCGTCACTACTTCGGACGAGTCACAGCCATCCTATGGAGACGCTGGACAGGTAGCGTTAACTGGAACTCCGTATCCGCTGATTCATCTTCAGAGAGGTAACGAGTCAAGTTCACTACCGAGCGTACCGAGGAAAGCTGGGTTCGAATGGAGAGTGTCGGTTCTGGTCAACACTCTCCCTCACACACCATCTTTTACTCCCTTTAAACTTCATTTTCCATCTTTAAATTCTTCTATCAAGTAGAAATCATTCCAGATATTTTAGAAATGTCTGTGTAAAGTGCTCATCCACCGCCGTGTGGATACTTGATCATAATTGTACAGCTTGCTGATTAATTATGTTGTTATTTTCATATTTTGCCAAATTAATGTAAATGTTTGATGTGTTAAACTTGATTCTGTTAATAAATGACCCACTGTCGTGGTGAGTCAAAGATAATTAACGTCTCACGTCCACATTTCATTAAATTCAATGCACGTTTATATTCAGTCCAGAAAAATGAAAGAATCCGTTTTAATCAGGTGAATATCTCAGGATATGTTCATCTACATTTGTAAAGAAATAAAATCATTTATATGCTGCTTAAATGTTAATTCAGATTCAAAATGACTTTAAAAAAGTTGTTCTGAAAGTTGATGCCCACCTTGATCTATGTATAGAATAAAATACTGTACTTTTAATGTCTCCTTTGTTTTTTCAATAAGTTTTCCATAAGCCAATAAGTTTTCTTTTGCATTTTATTAACATGTCCACAAAATTATTCAACAAAATGGAAAAATTTCTTTTTTTTAATTTTTAATTAATCAAAGCAAAACGCAACACTTTCTTAGCTATTATACATGCCCACAGTTTTATTTACAATGGTAAATATGGCCACGAGGCTGGCTCATTATGCATCAAAATGTAAATGTGCACATCATACACACTTGAATATTGATGAGCTACATAAATTGTTTAAAGCCTTTACTCAGTATCATGAGGATTTTTTTCTTCTGGATCCTTGTTTCAGTTTTTCCTTCAGGCCTCAGA